CCAGATGCTGCAGAATGGGGCTCCTTCAGGGACTGGAGAGAAACCTCACTGGAGGGAGGGAGGCTGAGATAGGGCTGGAAAAGTGGGCCGGAGCCAGAGCCTCAGAGGCCTTGAATACCAGGTGAAGGGGCCCGGACTTGGGAGCCATGGAAAGTGAAATTTCCTACTTGGATTTAACTTCAGGCGTGGAAGGGTTCTGAGCACAGGGTGGCCGGGGTCAGACTTGGCCCTGGAGTCAGAGAAAAATCTCCAGGTTTACGATGGATTGGAGGGGGCAAGACGAGAGATAGAGAGAGAGAGAGAGAGAGAGGGAGAGAGAGGCCGACAGACCAGAAAGGGGATTGGTGGGAAGGCCCAGGCAGAAATGCTGAGGCCTGAGCTGAGGTCAGAGCTCTGGGGAGTCCAGTGATATTTAGGACGTAAAATTGGACTTGGTGATTGATTGGATGTGGCAGTGTTGGGGACAGGAGTGGGGGAGTAGGTGAGGGGAAGGAATTCACTAGAATTTGAACTCCTCCTGGATAGGGGACCCTTCTTTCTATCCCCACTACCAGCTTGGACCTCAGCCAATGTGTTTTGTGAAGGAGTCACTTTGGACCCTTCTTTGCTCCTGCCCTGCCCTTCAGATAGGGATGGAGGAGGCAAAGGATCGGCCCCTAAACTCCTCAGCTTCTGTCCATCCTCCTCTATCCTTTCCCTTAATTGCCTTCTCTGAATAAAAATCATAATATAACAACGACAACCAGTCCCTCTTTTGTCTGGCACTTTAGCATTTTCCAAGGCTGTTCACATCCATTCCCGGTTTCGGAGCGAGGAGTCCACAGAAGGGGAGCATCTCGCTCTGCGGCTTGGGGACAGAGCCAGGACGAGGCCTGGAAGGCCCATCGATCACTCGAGCCCGTATCCATTTCACCTGCACTACCTCCCTCGCACCAGCCCCACGTGGTAGACGTCACTGAGTCAGTTCTGTTTCACAGGTGATAAATCGAAGCCATTATGGTGGAGTGGAAAGAGCCAGACGCTTCCGGCTCTGCCAGCTGTGTGGCCTTGGGCAAATCATTCACCTCTTGGAGCCTCAGTTTCCCAGTGTGTCTCGGTGCTGTGAAGAGGGGGTGGGGGCCTAGGCCTGATGATGGTTCTCATGATTGGCCCAGAGACGGGAAGTGTCCTCTCAAGGTCAGTCAGCGAAGCAGGGGGTACTGGGATCCGGCCCTCCTGACTTCCAAGCCTGTGGGCTGTTCGTCCACTGACCCCAAAAACCTTGGGCTGCGGTGTGAGCGCCGGGCACTGGAGACTCAGGGAGGGGGCTCAGCTGGGCGGGGGGGGAGGGGGCCAACCCCCTGAAGCCAGAGTCCAATTTCCTTCCATGCCCTCCTTGGCCCGTCCCCAGGGAAGGAGCAAAGATTCATCAGTTAAGGCACCAGCAGGCAGGCGGCAGTGAGAAGGACAACAGCACCAGCTGCCCAGAGACTCCCTACCGAGGAGCCAGGCCAGGGGGGCAGGAGGAGAGGGCGGGAGGGAGGGAGGGAGGATGGAGGCGGCGGGCAAAGTCCGTGACCAAAACGTTTGGCACGGTCCGTGGCCTGCCCTCCCCCTTCCCCACGCCTGTCCACGCCAGCTGGGCCTCCTCCCTTGCCACCAGCTTTTCCTTCCAAAGCTTTGGAGGTGCGAGAATCCTTTGACTTGCTCGCCAGCTGGGTGATGACCTTGGGCAAGCCACTCAACCTCCGTGAGCCTCAGTTTCCCCTTGGGTTCAACAGGGGTAGTTAACGGCCATGTCATCGGGTCATGGTGAGGAGTGGAAGAGCTAATGCCCATGAGGGACTCGGAACTGGGACGCGGAATTCCTAATTCCCCTCTTCCCCTGGGGAGGAATGGCAATGTACACGAGTCCCTGTCACCCTCGGCCCCCCAAGCCCATCCCTCTCCTTGCTCACAGAAGTGACGTGTCAATAATAATCGCTATTTAAAGCATGATTAATACTTTCCAGGCCCATGCTTATCAGTTTAGGGACATAAACTGGTTTCACTTTCAGAACAGTCTTTCCTACGAGCAGGGTATCAGGGGCCTTTTCTTACACATGAGGGTATGAGAGGTTCAGAGAAGTCAAGTCACTTTCTCAAGGTCACACAGACATAGGGTGACTGGATACATTATCCACCAAAACAGGGCACTTTTGGGAATGAAGGGTGACACTAGAGCCGATTCAACCAGGCGCGGCCCAGGCAAAGCAGGGAGTGTGCCACCCCACGTGGGCAGCATGTGGCCGAGCCAGGATTCTAAGCCAGGCCCTTTGGATCCTTCTCCAGGTTCCAGAAGGGGTAGGAAGGAGAAGCTCTGGGTTAGGACCCTGGATTTGATCCACCTGCTCCCACAACCCCAGTCAAGTCTCATCATCTCCCTGGGCCTCAGTTTCCAGCTCCGTCAAAGGGGAGCAGGGGAGCTGGCCAGGCGCAAAGCCCAGATCCACAGCTCTAACCCCCTCAGGGACTGAGGGACAGAGAGGCGCCGTGATTGGCTCCAGGTCACGCAGCCGAGTTGAGGCTGAATGAAGATTTGAGCCCGGGTGCCTTGACTCTGGGAATGTGGTAATTAATGGTCAAACAAATACCTATAAAGCCCTCGCTTGGCACAGTGCCTGGCCCACAGTGACCCCCCCCCCAGTGCCTGGTATCCTAGCTCTACATGACGTACTCTCGTCCCCCACTGCGTACCTCTTCCTTCCCAGAGGGCCTGGCCCCTGCTCCTGTCCTGGGCCCTTGTCTGAGAGGTGCAAAATGAATGGGCTCTGGCATTTCACAGATCCCGGTTTGAATCCTGGCCCTGCCTCTTACTGTGTGCGCTTAGCCAACACTTGTCCAATGGCACTTTCCTCCATGGCGGAAATGCTCTAGATCCACACTGTCCACGTGTGGCTGGTGGGCATCTGAAAGGTGGCCACTATGACCACCTTTCGAAATGAAACCTTTATTTTAATTAGTTTAAATTGCAATAGCCACATGTGGCTTGTGGCGACCCCATTGGACAGTGCAGCCTTTAAACAACGATTTCTAAAAAATATAAAATAAACAGTGATTTAACTTTCTCTGATGCTCAATTTTCTTATCTCAAAAATGGGACGCATAGCACGTACTTGGAAGTGTTGTTTCTTCCTCTGAGAGTTGATAAGTGCTCAGAGTAGCACGGGGCCTAGAGTGAGGTGCTCAGTAAAAGGTGACTTCAATGGTTAACTCCCTTTTGTTTTGTTCTCCCAATCTGGCCGCTTCCTCCCCCTACACCCCCCCACCCCAGTCCCTCTACACTGTGTCTGAGAGGTGAGAACTCCTGTTTCCTGTCACCCATGGGGCAGTCGGGCCACAGGAGGGCCTCACCCCTGCAATGATCCGGGTGATCGTCTTTGGCCTCTTCAGAAACTGCACGGCTTCACTGTCAGCCAGGTCCTGGAGGCTTTCAGGGATGTGCATGGCAGCTGCTCTGCTTCTGCCGTCCCGGGGGGTGTGAGTGGGGATGCCAGGTGCTGCCTGCTGGGTGCTGCCGTCCGGGGGCTGCAGGCCCGCCCTGGGCTTGGCTGCTGCAAGACAAGATGGATGGTGGGAGATCAGAGTCAGAGGTGTGGGGTGAAGGAGCTGCCAGGGGTCCCAGGAATAGGGGCATGGGGTAGAGGGTTCTGGGAGGGGGTCCCAGGAATGGGGTTGTGTGGGGTGATGGGTCTACAAGGGCTTGAGGAGCTGGGGCTTGGGGGTGAAGGGGCTGCTGGGGGTCCCAGAGGTGGACGTGCAGGGCGAGAGGGTGGCTGGGGGTCCCATGAATGGGGTGCAGGGTAAGGGAGCTCCTGAGAATTCCAGACATGGGGGTACAGTGTGAAGGGGTTGCTGGGGGTCCCGGAATGGGGGTCCCAGGGGTCAGGAATGCAGGCCGAGGAGGCTGTCGGGTGAGGGGGCTGCCCGGGGTCCCAGAGGTGGAGGTGCGGGGTGAGGAGTGTGGAAGCGGGCTGGGAGACTGGGGTCACATTCCTGACCCAGGAGCCAGGGGGTTCATTCTAAGGACTGTGTTCTCCGGGTGAGAAGCGGCGGGTAGGATTTCCCAGGGACTAGGGGGTGCCAGAACGTAGATCAGAACCCCTGGGAGGTGTGAGCCAGAGGAATCCCTTTCAAGATTTGGGGTGACAGCACCCATAACGGAGAATCCAGGCATCTCAGGGTGTATTTTAGGCCGGCCTCATGATTTGGGGTTATTTTCTTAGGATAAGGGCCTCCCCTTAGAATTGAAGTCCACCTTCCTAAGAGTGCATTTCCTCAAGTTGGGGGGGCCTGGACCTTCGGTGTGTGGGGAACATGGGCTCAGAACTGAGCTCTCCCCTCAGAATTAGGAGGTCATGCCCCAGGCACCGGGCTACCTTCTTAGAATCGGAGTCTTCCCTTTAAGGACCTGGAATGGGGGTGGTGGGGCTTGGGCGTGATGCTGCCTGACAAAGGGCCACCCCTACTCTGGAGGCCCGGTCTTCGTCACCTGGAGGCCGGCTCTTCCTTCTGCCCACCCTCCCCTTCTGGTTTCTGGCGCCACCTCAGTCTTCTTTTGGTTCCGCTTTTTCCCGCCTTTTCGCTCCTCCACAGCTGATTGGCTGCGTTCAAGTCCCGCTCCCGCCCTCTTCCCGCCTACTCAGGAGCTGACACGAGCGGGGGCGTGGCCCCAGCGGACGTTGGGCCGCCCGCCGTTGGCTGGCAGCGCGCGGGAGCCCTGCCCCGCCCCAGTCCTCCCCGGAGTCTCGCGCCCGCTCCGCCCCCTTCCCTTTGAAGCGCGCAGACAAGGAGACACTTCCGCAGCGCATGCGCTGCACTCAAGGCGACAGAGAAGAAAGGCGGGCAGATTGCGCACGCGCAATTGAAACAGGGCGGCAGGGAAAGATGGACAGCTTTCGATGACCCAGGCTTTGCGCATGCGTCTTACTGCAGTCTGAAGCCGAACTTTGGGAACCCAGGACGCCTTCCTACACATGCGCAGGAGGCTCAATGACAGTCGAGCGTTGGCTAAGGTGAGGGAGAAGGCGGGGGATTGCATGGCCGGGGGAGGGCCGCCCTGCACCCCCTATGTAGCCTTTCCGAGCATCTCCCATGCTCCTAAGATCCACCTGCTGCCTAGACCCCGCAGAAATCCGTTGTGCCACTACAGGGTCTCTGGGCCCAAAAAACTCCCCGGGACTCAAGACTTCTGACCCCTGCCTGGGGCGCGGGCCACATGGGCAGTGTGGGAGGGCACAGGCAAGACGCGCTGCAAGACGGGCAGATGGGCTCTGCGCCCTGCCTGGGGTAGGGACGGCCCCTGGAGGTGGGGAGGGTGCGTTTCCTCTAGTTGACCTTTGACCCCTGTCCATTTCCCTCGTTCAGGCTCCAGGGAAAGGGTCTGGCCATGCTGCATGTGACCCGGGGGGTCTGGGGATCCAGGGTCCGAGTATGGTCCCTGTTGCCCACGCTCCTCGGGCCCCCCCGGGCCCTGTCGTCGCTGGCGGCCAAGATGGGGGAGTACCGCAAGATGTGGAACCCCACGGAGCCCCGCGACTGGGCCCAGCAGTACCGCGAGCGGTTCATCCCGTTCTCCAAGGAGCAGCTGCTCCGCCTCCTGACACAGGTACCTCCCGTCCCGGGTCCGAGAGCCTGGGGACTGCGACTCCCGGCAGGCATCGCGGCGGCCCAGCCCTACGTGCCCTAGAGGGCTGTCCTGGCGCCTCCTGGGAGTTGTAGTTCCCGTCCCCTTTCTACGCCCAGGTGGGCGTGGCGTTGGAATGCAGGGACAGACCTGTGAGATGCTGATGTAGCAGCAATTCCGGACTCTAGCTTGTGCAGGGGGCTTGAATAAGCCCTCTCCGGGAAATGGTTTTCCCTCTGCAAAATGGGTATAATAATCATCCTCATCATTACTATTACTACTACCTAATAATACTTATTATACTAGCGAAGCTGTAATCATAATCATTATCACACTGTTTGAGCTCTTTACTGTATGGCACAGTGCCAGGCATTTCCACGTCTTGTTGAATCATCAGAACAACCCAGTAAGAGAGAGACTACCATGGTCTCTCTTTTACAAATGAGGTGACTGAAACAGGAGAGGAGAGAAAGTGACTTAGTCAAGGCTATGTCGTTGTGGCCCAGGTTAGAACCAAAGTGGTCTGACTCCAGAGCAGGGACTGTGGTCTCTCGTGAGGCATTAGGCACCTGCTCCACCGAGAGTCCAGCTCCAGAGCTAAGCTCTGACCCCACTGTCATCATCCTACTTGTCATCCTACATGATGATGAGGATTATCATTCGTTCATTTAAAAATTATTTATTGAACACCTCTGTATGTCCTAAGGCTTATGCTCGACTTTATCCACAAGCACACACGTAGATATCAACACACACAAATACATGTGTATGCATGTGGACATAGAATTGCTTCACATTCTCACCATCGCTCTCTGAGAAAGAGGGTGTGATCCTCTGTTGCTGATAAGGGAACAGGCTCAGAGAGGTGAAGACATTCACCTAGGGCACTGAGGTAGGAAGCATAAAGAAGCGGTTAAATATATGTGTTCTGGAGTCAGACAGGCCTGGATCGGAGTCTCAGCTTCTTTTTATACAAACACTGTGGCCCTCAGCAAGTGACTTCCCCTGAGCCTCAGTTTCCCCTTCTGAAAAATGGGGGTTATAATTCCATCTATCTCTGTACAGCCTCTGGAGGATGATAGACCAGTGAGCAGCAGCTGGTACACAATAAGCATTGTGTGAATGTCAGCGAGTGAGTGTCAAAGCGGGAACTTGACCTTCTAGCTCTTTCCACTGTCTGTTTTCTGCTACACCGGGCTGGCTCAGTTTCTTGGTCAGTAAGATTGGCTGCCCCCCACCCCAGCAAAAGAAAATCTGAAAAAGCCCAGATTGTATGGACTGCCAGAGAAAGGAATCCTCCCTGTGAGGAAGGGGAAAGAAGCCTAAAAAGAAGTTTTGCTTCCTGAGGCAACAGGAATTCCACTCCAGCCCTGCGGAGAAGGCAGCTTTGGAGGAGTTTGCGGCCCACGTGGACTTCTGCACCTTGTTCCACTACCACCACATCCTGGCCCGGCTGCAGGTGAGGACCTGGCGCCTTCCTTGGTGTGCCTGTTTGCTTATCCATTCATTCAGTAAAAATCCTCTGAGCCCCTCCTTGGAACCCGGCTCTGCTCTAAGCATGGGGGATGCAGCAGTGAGCGGGACAAATGAAGCCGCGTCCTCATGGAGCTGACATTCTGGTTGGGGAGACGATGAATGAATGAATGAATAAAAAATGGGATGACCCAGAACGGTAAGTGCTGTGAAGAACAATGAAGCAGAGTAGCAGGATAGAGAAGGATGACATGAGGGCCTGTTTTAGACAGGGTGGTCAAGGAAGGCTTCTCCGAGGAGGTGACAGGTGAGTTAAGACCTGGGTGAAGACAGGGAGAGAGGCTTATAGATGTCTGGTGGCAGGTGGGTGGGGGGACGGAGGGAAAAGCAAATGCAAAGGCCCTGGGGTACAGAGAGTTGGAAGAACAGGGAAGGGAGCACTATGCCTGGAGGGCAGTGAGTGAGGGTGAGCGGGCAGGAGATGAAGGCAGAGAGAGTTTCGGGGTAAACTGTTGCCTGGCCCTGTGGGCAATGGTAAGGACTTTGCTTTGACTTTAGGTGAGCTGGGAGCCACGGGAGGGCTCTGAGCAGAGGAGGGACATGTGCTGATTTAGGTGTTGATGGGCTTCTTCTGGAACAGACTGTCAGAGGCAGGGAGATCTATTCAGAGTCAATTATGTTTGTCCAGGTGAGGGATAATGGCAGCCCCAGCAAGAGTAATAGCGGTGGAAGTGGGGAAAAGTGGTCAGACGCTGGTAATGGTTGGAAGGCATCAGCATTTGGCTGTATGAGGCAGGCGGGCGGTGAGGGAAAGGAAGAAGTCAGGGGGTGCCTCCAGCAGTTTGGGCCTGCTCCTTTGGAAGAATGGAGCTGCCATTTACCGAGATGCGGAAGACAGGCTGGGGGCGGGAGGCAGATCTGTGGGGAAGACTAGAGCTCCGTTTTACACTTAGGAATCTGAGATGCCTATTAGGCGGATGGAGAGATGGACCCAAATGTGGGCTCCGGAGGTCACGGGAGGGGTCTGGGCTGAGAAGCATCCCCTGGGAGCATTTAGATGGTACTAGACGAGAACATCAGGGGGATTAGCTGAGCCCTGGGATGTGCCAGCCTTGAGATCAGGAAGGGGAACTGGAATGGGTGAGGGGGGACAGCCAAGGAGCAGCCAGAGAGAGAAGTAGAACCCCAGGGAAGGGTGATGTTGGCAAGCCACATTCTCCACGTCCTCCCCCTTCCCCTCCCAGGATCCTGACTGTGTCAGTGTGGGTCCCTGAGACAGAGATAGGCCTCAGTGATTTTCTCTACATGACTCACAGAGCTCAGAAAAGCTGTTATGCTCACAGTAATAGTTTATTAACAAAAGGATCGCAAACAAAATCAGCTAAGGAAAAAGGCCATAGGACGGGGTTCGGGAGAGGCCAGGCCATCTTCCTGTTGTCTCTCTCAGAGGAGTCCTGCAAGATGACATGTAGTTCTCCTGCCAACAAGGTGTGACAACATGTATGGAGTATTGCCCACCAGGGAAATTCACCTGAGCCCTGGTGTCCAGGATTTTTTTTTTAAGATTTTATTTATTTTTTTAAATTTTTATTTATTTATTTATTAGAGAGAGAGAGAGAAACAGCATGAGAGGGGAGGGGGTCAGAGGGAGAAGCAGGCTCCCTGCTGAGCCGGGAGCCTGATGCAGGACTCGGTCCCAGGACTCCGGGATGATGACCTGAGCTGAAGGCAGTCGCTTAACCAACTGAGCCACCCAGGCACCCAAGATTTTATTTTTAAGTAATCTCTGCACCCAATGTGAGGCTCGAACTCACAACCCCGAGGTCGAGAATCACATGCTCCACCAACTGAGCCAGCCAGGTGCCCCAACTGGTGTCCAGGATGGTTATTGAGAGTCAGCCAGCGCTTGGGTGGCTGACCTTAGCTACTCAGTCACCAGGCCCTCCAGGGGTCAGACTGCTACTTCGTGGCCCAAGGGCCCACCATACATCACATCGTTAGCATAGACTAGCTGCTGTGGCCAAAGGTCCCAGGGAAACCCAGACACTCTTAGCAGGCAGAACATTTCCAAGGGCTTAGAAGTTATCCCAGGAGCCAAGGCAAGGGCCGGTCCTTTGGAATGTGCAGGGTTTGGACAACCCAGGCCTGCTGAGTCGACCCTTTACTGTACATTGCCACTGCCCTTCGGCATGTCCCCTCTTTGAATAGCACCGAAAACAGCCCCTTGCCACTGAGCGGGCACTCTGAGTTAGGCTCATTGACTGCTTTACTGTGGCATCGAGGGGGTGGCTGCCCTTAGCCTCATTTGCAGAGGGAGATGCTGAGGCTCTGGGAGGGCTGGCCGAGCCAGGATTTGCAGCCAAGTCCGACAGCCTCTGAGCCCGAGCCTGGGGTCCACGAGAGGCAGGGTTTTTAAGAAAAGTTATTTAGGGGGCGCCTGGGTGGCTCAGTCGCTAAGCGTCTGCCTTCAGCTCAGGTCATGGTCCCTGGGTCCTGGGATCGAGCCCTGCATCGGGCTCCCTGCTTGGCGGGAAGCCTGCTTCTCCCTCTCCCACTCCCCCTGCTTGTGTTCCCTCTCTCGCTGTGTCTCTCTCTGTCAAATAAATAAAATCTTTAAAAAAAAAGAAAAGAAAAGTTATTTAGAAAATCATTTTATTTTATAAACATTTAAATATATAGAAACACAGAAAACATATACAGTGAAGACACATATTCCCACCGAGCCAGGAGATTTTAAACTGAGACACTAGGAGGGGAAAGGAAGGGTGGAAGCGGAGGGAGGTGAGACACCAGGGGGGACGCTTTGCTGGCGCCCTACGTCCCTAGAGGAAGCCACCTGGAGCAGGTGAAGAGCTGGCTGTGTTGTTTACTAGCCACGCCAACGACCTTGACAGGTGACCTCTCTCTGCACCTTCTTTCCCTTATTCATCATTGAATTCATTCAGTGGGTATGTATGTACGTATTTTATTTTATTTTATTTTTTATTTTATTTTTTTTAAAGATTTATTTATTTATTTTGAGAGAGTGAGAATGAGAGAGAGAGAGTACATGAGAAGGGGGAGGGTTAGAGGGAGAAGCAGGCTCCTCGCTGAGCAGGGAGCCCGATGCGGGACTCGATCCCGGGACTCCAGGATCATGACCTGAGCCGAAGGCAGTTGCTTAACCAACTGAGCCACCCAGGTGACCTGTATGTACGTATTTTAAAGATTTATTTATTTATTTATTTATTTGAGAGCGAGACAGCAAGTGGGGGAGGGGCAGAGGGAGAGGAAATCCCAAGCAGACTCTACGCTCAGCACAGAGCCCGACATGGGGCTCGATCCCACTACCCGCGAGATCACAACCCGAGAGGAAACCAAGAGTCTGACACACAACCGACTGAGCCACCCAGGCGCCCCTCAGTAGGTATTTATTGAGCACCTACTGTGTCCTCCAAGTGGTTCCAGGTCCTGGGACATAGTGGTGAGGCTGACAGATGTGTGTCTCTGCCTCGTGGGTTCACGTTCTAGTGAGGGAGACAGACTTTCAAGAAGGTAAAGAAGCAGGGGCGCCTGGCTGGCTCAGCCAGTAAAGCATGCAATTTTTGATCTCAGGGTCGTGAGTTCAAGCCCCACATCGGGGAGAGAGTTTACTTAAAAAAAAAGAAGGTAAAGAAGTAAAATGTGTGAAGAGATGCTAAGTACGAAGGGTAAGGTTGCCAGAGAAAGTACAGGACACCCAGTTGATTCATTTCCGACTGCTGCCGTAACAAATTACCATAACCTGGGGGGGCTTACAACAACAGAAGTTTGTTCCTGCAGAGTTCAGGAGGCCTGAAGTCCAAAATCAAAGCGTGGGTAGGGTTGGTTTTTCTCGGAGGCTCTGTGGGGGGACCATCCCATGCCCCTCCCCTAGCCGATGGTGGCTGCTGTCTTTGGCCTTCCTCGGCTTATAGACACAATAGTCCAATCTCTGTCTCCCGTCTTCAGGTCACTTTCTTCTCTGTGACTCTGCGTGTCCTTTTCTGTCTCTTAGAAAGGACACTCTGATTGGATTGAGGGCCCACCCTAATCCAGGATGATCTCATCCTGGGATTCTTACCTAATTAGACCTGCAAAGACCCTCTTTCCAAAGGAGGTCATATTCTGAGGTTCCAAGGAAACACGAATTTTTAGAGGATACTGTTCAACCCTCTACACCCAGTTAAATTTGAATTTCAGATAAGCTATGAATAACTTTTTTTTGTAGTATAATTATGTCCTATGTGATACGGTCCTCAAATATTGCATGGGATGTACTTAAACCGAAAAATTGTTAGTTGTTGATCCAGAAATCAAATCTAACTTGGTGTACTACATTTAATTTTTTTTTTTTTTTTGGTAAAACAGAAACCCTAATTAAGAAGAACAAGAAAGCAGGAATGTTTTGCAATTTTTAGGTAGAATAGTCAGGGAAGGCCTCACCGAGGGGGTGACATTTGAGCCGAGACCTCAAGAGTGAGCCATGAAGAGATCTTTGGGAACAGTAAGTGCAAAGGCCCTGTGGCAGGAGTGTGCATGGTGTGTAGGAGGAACAGCAAAGAGGCTGAGTGAGCAATGGGAAGAGGGTTGGAGATGAGGGCAGAGATGGGGCTGGGGCCCAGATCCTGCAGAACCTCATGGGGACCCAGTGAGGACTTCGCTTTGACTCTGAGTAAGGTGGAAACCACCAGAGGACTCTGAGCAGAGGGATGGGAGCTGACTTCAATGACAACAGGTGCCCTCTGGCGGCTGCCTGGGGAACAGACTGGGTTGGGGCTGGAGGATGGGAGCAGGGAGACCAGTGCCCAGACCACTGCAACAGTTCAGGGAGGTGAGGGTAGCTCAGACCTGGGGTGAGAGGGGGGCGGGCGGGGGTGGTGGTGAGAAGTAGGCAGATTCTGGATCTATTTTGAATGTGGGGCCATCAGGATTTGCCGATGGGTTCAATGTGTGAGAAATAGAGGAGCTGGATGGACTTGGCCTCTTCTGAGCCAGGTAAGGTGGCAGGAGAAGCAGGGGAGGAGTCTCAGAACCCCAGTTTGGGAGGTAGTGGGTTTGAGAGAATGCCCATCAGATGCCCGCTTGGAGGTGTCAACAGGCCCATTGGACATCTGCGGGTAGGCATTGAGTGGGCTCTTGGCGTGTAAGTCTGGAGCTCAGGAACATCAGCAGCAAATTCAAGCATGTACCTTGCCCTCAGGGAGCTGAACTTGGGTGGTGGGGACAGCTGTGAGTCAGACACTCTGCCCCGATGAGCAGATAAATTCAGACAGTGAACTAACCGGGCACAGTTCGTACCAGCAGATAACAAAGGTGACCTTGGTTTGTGTACCGAAGTCCGTGTGCAAATTGGTAAAACGTGCCCCTTTCCCTTGCCTGCTGCTGCGTGATATGGTAGCTGCTATCCACATGTGGCTGTTTAAATTTGAGATCATTGAGGGCGCCTGGGTGGCTCAGTTGGTTAAGCGACTGCCTTCGGCTCAGGTCATGATCCTGGAGTCCCGGGATCGAGTCCCGCATCAGGCTCCCTGCTCGGCGGGGAGTCTGCTTCTCCCTCTGACCCTCTTCCCTCTCGTGCTCTCTCTCATTCTCTCTCTCTCTCAAATAAATACATAAAATCTTTAAAAATAAATAAATAAATTTGAGATCATTGAAATTAAATAAAATTTAGAAATTCCATTCTTCCATTGTATTCACTCCATTTCAAGTGCTCAGTAGTCACCTGTGACCAGTGGTAAGCAATTGGATGGTGCAGATCTAGATGTTCCTATCACTGTAGGCAGTTCTGTTGGATGGTGCTGCTCTACATTCTTTATTTCCAACTGAAAGGGTAACAGGATAAATGTATATGTCTACAGCATCTAAAATGGAGTTTATTAGATCTGGCACATTTGTGCAGTATACAATCTGCCCAACCTCACAAGGCGGCTCTGCTCAGCCTAAGGAGCAGAGGAAGGCTTTTTGAGAGCAATAAGGGAGCTGGAATATTGTAGAAGAATAGGACTTCAGTAGGGGACAGGGAGGGGGCAGGGAAACTCTCTTAACAGCATGTGCAATGTCCCTGTGCCTGGAGGAATGTAAATCAGGGTGGCTGGTCTGTGGAGCCACCAAGGGGGATTGTGGTGTTAGGTCCTCGGAGGCCTTGTAGGACACAGAACAGAGCATGATCCTATTTCCTGAGGGCAGTAGGAGCCTTGGAATGATTTTAGCAGGAGATCGACATGGTTAGATGTGTAATTCCTGATATATCACTTCCTGGCTGTGTGACCTTAGGCAGTTACTTAACCTCTCTGTGCCTCAGTTCCCACCTCTGTAGGTGAGGATAACAATAGTACCATTGTCACATTGTGAGAACAACCTGCTTCAAAGAGTCCCTGCTGCATAGTAAGCACTATATAAATGTGCACTATCATTTATTACTGTTGTTGTTACGGTCTGATAGAATCTTGGCTGCTGTGTAGAAAGCAGATTGTTGGGGGTGGGGCGAGGGGATTTGGGGAGACCGTTGCAAAGGCTGTTGGACTCATCCAGGCAGGAGGAGATGGGGGTGTGGACGGAGGCAAAGTGGCGATTGGTTTGGGGGTAGAATCATCAGGGTGCATTGTGTGGGGGAAGGGAGCAGCAGGGGTCACCTGTGACATCCAGGGGTCACCTGTGACATCCAAGTTTCTGGCCTGGAGCCCTGGGCGGAGGTGGGTGGGAGGGGCCCAGAAGAGAATTTGGCTCGCAGCAGATGCCTGATGAATGCAGATTTCTCTCTCCTCTGGCTCTGAGCTTCCCTCCCCCTCAAACTGCGGCTCAGTCCTGGCAGTGGAATTTCTCAAGGTCACTCTGTGAGTCTGAGAACTTGGCCTGTGGGACCTGAAGGGCTTCTGGCACAGGCCCCAGTGTTGGGCTGGAGTCCTATCCTCGGGCAGCACGTCCCTAGCCCTGGGAGTTGGTTCAGAAGGGGATCTGCTGAGGCTCGGCTGTCCTGTCCCCCTGCTCTGTGGTGTCCACGGCCCTGGGCCTTCCCACCTCCAAACTTCTGCCAAGGGTGTTCCTCCCACTTGAAGTACCTCTTTCCTTCCACTAATTCAAAATTACACCTGGCCTAAACTAGTTGTTCCTTAGGGCCTCCTGAGAGACACGGAGGGTTGGGCTTGTTCATGGCGTGTCTTCTGAACCATTGATCCCCCCATGAGGCTCGCTGTATAGTCTGGGACAAGTCACATGTCATCCTGAAACCAGCAAAGAGGCTAGGCCCCCAGAAACTCCCTCCCTCATTCATTCATTGAGTCAACTTTTTTTTTTTTTTTTTTTTGTGGGCAGGGGTGTGGGGGAGTGGTGGGTGCCTAAGATGAGCCAGGCAGAGCAGAGGCCAGTTTGTGGGGACCTTGGAGGTGGTGGACCACGTCTGGTACTTATGCCAGTTGCAGCGGGGAGCCACCCCGGGGGTGGGGGTAGGGGGCAGAGGGTGCGGGATCTGTTTCTAGTCTAAATAAGATCTTTGCGGCAGTTTCGTGGAGAGCGGTTTGGAAGTGGCAAGAGAAGAAGCAGGGAGAACAGAAGCCCAATGCAATTGTTGAGGTCAGAGGGGAAGGTGGCCGTGGAGATGGGGGTGGGGGGGGATGGATTCAAGGGCGACTCAAAGGTCTAGCCAGTGAACTTGCTAAAGGATTGGAGGGGGGTGCGAAGAGAAGGAAGCGATCCAGGATGCCTCGGAGACTTCTGATCAGAGCATCTGATGAATTAGGTGGTGCTGTTTCCTTTAGGGAGAAGGCTGGCTGAGGGGGAAGGAAGAAGAAATGAGGCATTCTCCTCGGGCCGTGTTAGATGTGAGATGCCGTTTCCAATGGGAGGTGTCAAAGAGATCACTGAGTATGAGAGGTTGTGGGGGGAAGAAGTCTGGGAGGAGAAACCCAAAATTTATTGGAAGATGGGGGCGGGAGGACATGACCTGTGGCTCGACTTGCTGCATTTGAGGTGACTGACATCCCAAGAGAAATGTCAACTGGAAGAGTTTGCGTTCGTCAGTTAGTATAAAGGGTTAGCTGCTGTAACAAGCAGGCCCGACGACCTGATGGTTTAAAGGAAGTGGAAGATTGTTTCTCTCCCACTTAACGGTCCAGTGGTTCCGTTATGGTTCCGCATGAGGTTATTCTAGGACCCAGGGTCCTTTCATCGTGTTGCTGTGGCATTCCTTAGAACACTGTCTCCATCTCTGTGTGGTCAAAACTAAGCCGGGGGCAAAGCCGTGTTTTCAGCTGGCAGAGGAAGGAAAAGAGTGGAGATGCAGGGGAGCAAGAAGCAAGGGGGAAGTCGGACCTTCTGCAGCCTTTCTGCTCACGTTCTATGGATGAAACGTGTCTTCTGGCCACACCTAGCCTCCAGAGAGGCTGGGAGACGTATTATCTCTGTGCATCCCTGCGTCCACCTTCCCCTCCGTTACTGGGGACAGATACTATGCCCCGGAACTGGGTATCAGGTCTGGAACCTGGAGGACCGGGTCCGGGCTAGAGATGTGAAGTTGCCCAGAGATACACAGAGATTCACAGAGCGGTGTTGTTTAAAGGCATGGGAATAATGAGGTTACTTAAGGTGAGCTCGAAGAGAGAGAAGGAGAGAGGGCCCAACACAAGCCCTGGGGCACCCTGTCACCTAAAGGGTGGGCGGGTAACAATCCCTCACGCTGTGCCCTAGCCCATTTTTCTTCTCTCTGACTCTCTCCTCAGGCCTTGTATGACCCCATCAACCCCGACAGGGAGACCCTCGACCAGCCTTCGCTTACGGACCCCCAGCGTCTGTCCAATGAGCAGGAGGTGCTTCGGGCTCTGGAGCCCCTGCTGGCCCAGGCCAACTTCTCCCCGCTCTCAGAGGATGCTCTGGCCTACGCTCTGGTGGTCCATCACCCTCAGGATGAGGTCCAGGTGCCTGTCTTCCAGGGGAGAACCGAAACTCCCAGGAGGCCTTGGGGCAAGGATGGAGCCTTTGGGAGGCAGAGGCTGCTGGGAGTTGTCCTGAACACAGGGCATGAGCCCACATAGTGTTTTTGGTGAATTAGAACGAGGCACCTCTTTCCCAGTCCTTGCACTGCCATCTGTTGGAAAAGTATCATAATATACAGATCTTCCTAGGACTAGAGCCTTTATCACCATTTGCCAGAAAACTGTAATAATAAATAATATAAAACGCTCATCCTTAAAGTCAACAAAATTAAAATAAAAATACTAAAATCTTCCAAAGTCCCCTATTTTATAGTGATTTTTAAGATATACTTTTTTTCCAAAGTCATATTTTATTGTCTGAAATTGGCATATGACTTATAAGTGGTGGTGTGGCATAGTTTTAACTGACAATATAATTCTCTTTTAGTTGCTTAAACTCATAAAATAATGGAATATCCAATTGACAATCATATTATGATATATAAATGTATCAAAGTAACATGTTGTGTACCTTAAGCTTACAGTGTGCTACATGTCGTATTTATTCAATTAAAAAATAATAGAGTATCTTAAAATCAGTGACATCTTAGATTCTTGGAAATGTGGTAATAAAAATGACTATGAGGTAAATGGTGCCATCTTAGATAGTATGCCCTTGTGCAGTATACAACATGAGCAGCTGTACATGGCCATCCTGTCTAGACCCATCCTGGGTGATGATAAGCCTGGGAGAGGGGTGGAAATCATTGAGGGGTGGGGCATCTAATTCTAGTAGCCTATGTTCTCACCCTAGCCCATGCTCAGCTGCCTCTGCTTCCTTTGTTCTCCTTGTCAGGTGACAATAAATTTGGATCAGTATATCTACATGCAGTTCTGGGCCCTGGGCCAGCGAGTCGGGCAGATGCCCCGTAAGTCCAGCGTGGGCTCCAAACGTGGCTTCTTCATCAAGTCGGCCCCCGCAGAGAGGTGAGGCGGCCCTTGTTCCCCAGCTGCAGCGAGAGGGAGCAAGGTTAGAGTCGAGAGGGGACTGACAGGTCAGTGTCTGGATTCGGGTGTCGGGACCTTGGGGGGGAAGTCAAGAAAGGGGTGGGGAGATCATCCACATGCTGCCTTTTCTTCCCAAGGGAAAATAAGAACTACAGTGCCCAGGGGAAGAGGAAGGGTAGGGACACCTCCCCATTTTCCAAACGAGGACGGCTGAGGCTCAGAAAGAGAAGACCACATTCTGAAAAAATGGCGCAGCCAGAATTCTGGTGAACGTTATATTTTTAACAGAGGCTACTCTAATACAGAGCAGGGTCAGGAGAGCCAGATCTCTTGGGCCTGTAAATTACCTAGTCTTTCTGGAAATCAGTTAATCAAATATGGTCATGAATCCAAAACACCCAAACCAAAACAAAAAACCCAAAGGCAAAAAACAAAACAAAACAAAAAGCCCTCATATCCCTATATACCCCTCAGTAAGTCCACTTCCAGGAATCTATTCCAAGGAGATATTTATACTTGCAGACTGCGTGTTTAATTATCTGTCTCTCACGCTGGACTATAAGCTCCACAAAGGCACGACTGACTCATTTTGCTGCCTCTCCAGAGCTTAATAGCGCTCCCTGGCACCTCGCAGACACTCGAAATGAAAAGTAGAATTTGACTTTGAAAAACAGCTCACGAAAAGATTGGTATTCCGCTCCCATTCAGCAAGTGCCTAAAGCCAGAAGCCATATCTATGTGCCCCATGACAGGGGATTGCGTTATTTAACTGATGCCCTGTTGCTGGACGCTGGGCTTCTTTCTTCTTTCTTTCTTTCTTTCTTTTTTTTTTTTTAAAGATTTTTATTTATTTATTTATTGAGAGAGAGAGAGAGAGAATGATAGAGAGAGAGCATGAGAGGGAGGAGGGTCAGAGGGAGAAGCAGACTCCCTGCTGAGCAGGGAGCCCGATGTGGGACTCGATCCCGGGACTCCAGGATCATGACCTGAGCCGAAGGCAGTCGCTTAACCAACCTCAGGCGCCCCAACTGGGCTTCTTTCTGAGTTTCCTCCCGCCCCTGTTAAGTAGCCTTTACAGTGAGTGTGTGACTCCGGAGCTAGAGAGAGAGTGTCCCCGGGGCCGGAGGGGGCTCCCCAGGGATGGTCCTCACTGCCCTGCCCCCCCTCTGTCTGGCAGGAGGTACTTTAAGCGGGTGGTACTGGCAGCCCGAACCAAGCGGGGGCACCTGGTGCTGAAGAGCTTCAAGGACACGCCACTGGAGGGCCTGGAGCAGCTGCTACCCGAGCTGAAGGTGCGCACGTCCACCATGCAGCGCGCCCTGCTCAATCTCACGCTTTTCGTCTCGGGCATGGTGTTCTTTGTCAACGTGGGCATGGTGGTGCTGTCAGACCTCAAGATGGCCACCTCCCTGCTGTTGCTCCTGTTTGCTATGTTCATGGGCCTCCGGGCCTCCAAGGTGAGTGGACTGCCCCCAGCGTGCTTCTTCGGTCCCTGCTTCTGGGTGTTCAGCCGGAAGCTCAGGCCACCCTGTATTTTTGCTTCTTTCACACATTGTTCCTGCCTTGTGCTGTCCTTCCCTCCTTTACCTTCTCATTCCCACTTTCCCTCCCTCCTCCCTTTCCTTCTCTACCTCATGTCCTCAGTGCGACCTTGGGCAGCTTTCTTAATCTCTCGGCGCTTCGGTTTCCTCACCTGGAAAATGGAGACAGGAGCGAGACCTGCCTTGTAGGGGTGTCCTGAGGATCACAGGCGGGACGCCATGGAAAGCACTGGGCGCAGGGCCTGGTAGGCAGCAGGCGCTCCATGAGTGTTCATGGCCCGTCACCGAGCGCCTATTTTAGAGGCATTTTAGTGATGTGGGGAAGTTGTTTTAGAACTGGACTGCCTGGGTTTGAGTCTAGCTCTTCCGTCCCCTCGCTGTGGGACCTTGCACAGGCTGCTTAACCTCTCTGTGCTTCTGTTCCCACATCTGGAGAGCGGGGACGACAAGAACCTGATTCATAGGGTTGTTGTGGGGATCACATGCATGAACAGAGCCTGACATATCGTACAAAACGTACCATATGAGAGTTAGCCATTACTGTTACTATTATTATTACTAAGGAGGCTGTTGTTCTCTGACTCTGGGCTTTCTCTTCCTGGCGGGCTGTCATTATCACCAGGGAAGCTGTTTTATAAATAAGGCCTCCTGAGCTCCAGCCCAAATGGACTGAATTGGAAACTCTGGGACTGGGGCCAAGGAAACCGTATTTTTAACACCTTCCCTTCCTGATTCTGCTACATGTGAACGCACAGCCGCCTCATACAGTTGCGCGGGTTGTTCACCATCCAAGGATTTGAGGCTGAGGGGACGGGTGGGGGCTGGAAGCTAACTTGTGCCATGTGTGCCGAGTCGAGGCTGAGTCAGCCCAGAGGGGTTGCCTTTTACCGATTCGCCCCAGGGCTGACCCTGGCCCCAGGAGTGTGGACTGGTGTGTGATATCCGTTGTACTTGATCATTCACTCGCTGGTTCATTGGTTTTCAAACCGTTTACAGCCATCCCAGCGGGGTCTTAGGAGGACTGGTAATAAATTGCACAGATAATAGCCAGGCTGGGCTGGCTGAGAGGGGGTGAAGGGCTGGGGGTGGGGATAGCCACTCCTGCGGAGCACTAGGGGTCAGGCGGGATTTAAGGGAAGCTTTGAAAGGGGAGGATTGAACCCGGTGGAGAAGGGGCTGAGCGAGCACAGCTTGGGGGATCTCACAGGGCTGGAGTCCGGGGTACAGGGTGGAGAAGTGAGGCCCCAGAGGGTGCTAGGGGACTTGAATGCCAGAATAGGGGCTTTATCCACAGGACAGCAGGCAGTTACCATGGCAGAGTGTCACATAGAGGGAGTGCAGCCACCACCGAGGGGGGCCCCTGTGAGACCAGCGGCAGGGAGGCTGGTGAGAGGTGTCCACTGGTCTGGGGGGGGCACCCGGAGTCCCAGCCCTCGGTGGACCATCCGTCCCACCAGCCTGAGGCCCCAGGGGGCTGTGGAGCCTCTTGGGCTCTGCAGGGGCCAGGTGAAAACCCAGGTCCCTAGTTAATTTAGCGCATCCCCATTAAATGTTTTCTCATGCTCCGGGCTAAGTGCCAATCCTTAAATGTGGGCCCTCTGAGCCTCCTCCAGCTGCCCCTCCCTGCACACTCTTGTCCCCTCCTGTTTGTCAGTCACTCCCAGATATCTGTCTCTGGTGCAGGCTCCTCTCCCAGAGTCCAAACCCCTGGCCCTGCCTGCTCCCTGGATGTGCCTAAGCCCTTCCCACACTTATGCACCGCATCCCACTGAGCTCAGGATCCTTCTTCCCCAAACCCCCTTCTGAGGACTGGTCTCAGATCAGATACCTGGGAGCTGATTTTGCTGCAGTACGCACATCCCTCTTTCTTCCCCCCAAAAGAGTTCATCCATTGCTGTGGCTTCCACGGGCAGCTGTCTGTCATCTCATAGAGCGGGTGCTCCACGCTCAGCCTGGAGCTGGCCAACTCCGGAACAGCCCCCTGGTGGGCCCGTTGCACTCCCCTCCAGCAGCAGCTCCCCAAACCCGCTCCTCATTGTGGTTCTCCATCTGTAGAGGGCCCTGTTCCCCCCCAGTCACTGGCTAGACCCCTGGAGATGGCCCTTGCCCTGCCCCCCAGTCTGTCAGTCCCCAGACTGTCCTTCCTGCCCCACTTCTGCGCCATCTCGTTCCCTCTGCACTGGCCTGAGCCCACGTCTTCCCAGCCCCCCCAGTCGGTCTCATCCCAGCCCTCCAGCCCATCCCCAAGGGCCTCAGAGCTGGCCTTGCTCCTTGCTCACAGCCTGGCCCCAGAAACCCTGTTTCCACAGCCTCATCCAACACAATCTTACGCTTCAGCTCCACCAAAACACACTGCTGGCACCCCCTCCTGCTCCCCATGCTGCTGCTTCCCTTTACTCCTCTCCCCTTTGCAGCTGCGGTTCCCTCTGACCGAGATGCCCTTTCACCCCTGTTGGGCTGGCCATCCCCGGCTCGCCCCTCACCCTCAGCTCAGAGGCTCTAGGAAACCTTCCCAGTCTTCTCGGACCTGGAGGGTGCCCCTCTGGCCTGCCGTCATACCCTGGCCCAGCACAGAGCAGGCCTGGGCTTGTTGAGAAGCAAGCATCCCGCGGATGCTTCAGGGCCGGTCCTGCCGTGCAGGGAGAGGTGTGGGGCACGTGGACAGACTGTCGCGTGCCTAACGGAGGTCGCAGTGGCCACTGCAGGAGCCTGATGACACAGTTGCTCATCTGTGGGACACTCTGTCCACTCCAAACCTTGAGGATGAGGCAGTGAGTGTTTTCTAAGAACAGACCAGGGGTGACTTGGCTTGTTCTGAGGCCCAGAGGCCCGAGAGAGAGAGAGGGCAGCTCAGGGTAATGTTCAGGGTAAACTGGCTCATCAACACAGGCTGCATTCAGAGAGGGGGAGCAGGAGGTGAGCAGGAGAAGTCTTAAGGGGCCAAGCCATGCAGGGCCTTGGCGTCAGGCCAGGGAGCATGGACTCTCCGAGGGCACTGGGGAGCCATGGCAGGACTGTGAGCAAGGGAAGAGCAGGGTCAGCTCTGGGGCTGTGCGGGGACAGACCAGAAGGGGCAGGTGCAGGCGGGAGGAGGCTATGCATGGGGCAGGTTGCAGAGGAGGGGACAGGGCCCAGAGAGTCAGGGCAGGAGGACAGGGCTAGGGACCGACAGACTGCTGAGGAGGGAGCGAGGCTGCTGCCAGGGGTCTGGCCTGGGACTGGGCAGACGGCGAGGCCACCCCAGATCTGGAGCACAAGAGAGGGGGACCTGGTAGGCTGGGAGGTGGGGTGAGGGGCGGTAGTGAGTGTTAAAGGGAACGCCCAGCTGTTGTGTCCTCTCCAGGGAGAGAGGTCTGGCCTCCTCCGCGTGCCACAAAGCATGACCAGCCCACTTAATGTCTGAGAATCTAGTGGCATAAGCTTGGCAGAAACAGACAGAAAACCCAAGGTGTGTTTCATCCCAGACGGTCCCTAACATATGCGGTTCCCACATCTCGCCTCCCACCGATGAGATGGCGACTGGTTCCAACGCAGGGACAGACACTGACTGTGCGGGGCCCGTAGTAAGGGAGAGCACAGTCGCACAAAACCGTGTCATCGGTCCTGGGCAGGTCATTTGAGCGATTTCCACGGCTCTGCTGACTTCAGAGGCGTTTCACCTCAGGTCCCAGTGTAAGTTGGGCAGACAGTACATGCCTTTTAAAGATAGCACCCAGCCTGGGGTTCAGTCGAATATTCCGTAGTAGCTAATGTTGAAATGCCTGTTATGGGCCTGGCACAGTGCCAAGTGTCTCAAAAACCTCCTGTTGATTTCCAGACCCTTTCCTGTCATCTACCTCATTTCACTGATACTGCCCCCGGAGGACTTAGGCCTTAGCCAAGGGCTCATAGTTGGTAGGGGACAGAGCTGGGACTGCCCCCAGGCCAGGCAGCTACAGGACCCAGCAGACTTGAACTCATTTTGTGGATGAATGGAGCAATCGGAGTGGAGGTTTTTAGTGTGAGCCCCCGAGAGCACCGGTGGGCTCTCCTTTCCCTCCTTCGGGACACCAAGGATGGGAAGAGGGGTCCAGCCGAGGAGGGGGCAAAGGGTGGGGAAGGGGTCCGCCCATTAATAGACAGCTGGGCCCCAGACTTGCCCCTCCCCCCATTCTCCTTCCCTCAAAGAGGCTTGGAGTATTTGTTTTCTGTTAGCACTTCTCTTGACAATTTAACCTTTGAAACCTTCTTTTTATAATGGCAAAGTTCAAGCAAATGCGGGAATAGAACAGCATGATGAGCTCCCTCGCCGCCAGCCTCCGGCGTCTATAATTATCCACAGTCAATCTGGGTTTCACCTAAAGACCCCCTGCTCTCCCACCGCTGGGTTATTTTGAAGCAAATCCTAAACATATCATCTGGAAATACTTTAGTAGGTGTCTAAAAGATAAGGACTTAAAAAAAAAAAGATCATCGTCACAGAAAGTTCCAAGGCTAAAAGGCAAACCAGTGAGGGGGTTGCTGAAAGCTGTCGGTGGCGTCGGAGTCCCTGGGGCGAGAGCGTGCATGTGTGTGTGTGTGTGTGTGTGTGTGTTAGAAATACAAATACCCGGGTGTGTGTGTGTGTGTGTGTGTTAGAAATACAAATACCCGGGCTCCGGTCCTGGGCACCTGAACCCAGGAGGTCTGGGGAGAGCCCGGGAGCCCGTGGGAAGGACCATCCCAGGGTTGAGTGACTGGGGGCGGGGTGTATATGGGTGGGGACGTGGCCCCTGCCCCACCCCCTTCCCCGTCGCCCGGCTGAGCCCGCGGGCGCTGTCACACCTGCAGATGTTCGGACAGCGGCGCAGCGTGCAGGCTCTGGAGCTGGCGCACATGCTCTACTATCGCAGCACTTCCAACAACTCGGAGCTGCTCAGCGCCTTGGCCCTGCGCGCGCAGGACGAACATGCCAAGGAGGCTCTGCTGGCGCACAGCTTCCTGGCCCGGCTGCCCCCGGGTGCGCGTGGCCAGCCGGAAGGTAGGATTCGACCCCGCACCCGGTGGTGGGTGGCCCTGCCCTGAGGACCGCCCCTCGCCACGCCCCCTGCCCTTTGAGGCTCTGCCCCCAGACCATCGCAGCCCAGTGGTGACGTGGCCCCACCTGGAACAGACTCCATCGAGACACACCCCCACACTGCAGGCCCAGCACTCCCAGCTCCCACTGGTGAATCTGACCAATTTCCGGGGTGACCTTGGCCCTCAGCAGATGGGACCCCCACCCCCTCCCCTGAACCCAGCTTCTGATCTTGATGGACCTGGTCCCTCCCTGGGGTGACCTCCCTGTCCTGACCTTATCCTGAATAAGGGTCTTGGATCATCAGATTCCTGGTGTGGCATGACCTCCTTTGCTCCCAACTTCCCTAGCGCTCCTTCCAAAAGAGACTCTTGTCCCCTCCCGATGTGAGCCTCAGGTTGTCTCCTTTCCAACAGGAACCTCCCTGACTTGTCCCTAGATGAGAGCCCCAGAACTGGACCCTCCTAAGCCTTGTCCCACTTACTTGCTAGCCTCAACCGAACCCCTAGGCTTCTCCCAAACCCAGACCCTTCATGTTCCTTGCCCTGTGCTCTCCCTGCTGTCCCTTCCCGGTCCTTCCAGGTCCCAGTCACCTCCTCACAACGCCTACTTCTCTCCCTGCAGAGACCTCCCAGTGGCTCCAGTCGGAGGTAGAGCACTGGCTCCTGGCCCAGTCAGGCTGTGACGTGGCCTTCAACGGAACTCGGGCCCTGACCCACCTGCAAGCCCTGACCCCCAGCATCGGGATGTTCCCACCCCCGGGCTTCCCCAAACTGGACCCGTTGCCCACAGTCATTTCTGAGACCCCCCCAGCCCGCACCCAGCAGTAACAGGCCCTGAGCGAAACCTCAGCCCAGCCTCGCTCAGCCACCTGGGGAGGCACTAAGCCCCGCCTCCTCCACGATAAGCTGTCAATCAAAGCTATGCTTCGCCCCGGCCTAACTTCCCCTCACCCACAGGCAATCACTTCCGTTACTCTGTAGTCTTAAACAAAGCTAGCAATTAAGGCAGTCTACAGTTGCTAGGCACCCCCCCTGAACAGCCAATCGAAGCTTTTTGGCTTGGCTTCTAGGCCATCCCTTAGTCCCACCCCCGCCGTAAACATCCAAACATGGCTTGGCTGAGGAGGAGTGTCAGCCAATCACAGCTGTTCAGTGTTACAAACCAGTAGGCACAGTGGTTAAACTGTGCCCTCCCGAGGCCATAGATCACTGCCTTTTTAGCCCACTCCGGGCAAAATGCCCAACACGTTCACCAAGGCGGAGCCCCCGTCCACAGCCAATGGGAGCCGGTTAGCCCAGCTCTCTGGCCAACTGCCAATGACAGCTGCTGGGCACTTACCAACCTTAGGCTGCCAGTTGTCGCCGCACAGAAGCAACCAATCAATTTCTAAAGGAAACCCGATCTTTCTATCAATTGCCGCTGCTCCTCAGGCTGACTATCTGGTCAACCGCTGATCAGCTGGTTCAGGCTAAAGGGGTTGGGGGCCTTGTGTCAGGCAGAAAGCCGTGGGTCAGGAGGAATCAGAGACCATCCTCACTCCAAGACTCATTTCCACTCAGGCCCCAACAACCTCAGGTGCCTTCCCTGCCCAGGTCCCTCACCCTTTCTGCAGAAACTACCTCGGTCTGGATCTTTCTTCCATCAGTGGCCTGTGCAATATTTATTGGTCTATCAATTTCTCCCCTATCCCCTCTCCCAAAGGAATAAATCATGTTTAATAAATCTGGATGCGTGGGATAGCTGCAGGAGTTGAGGAGAAGGAAAGCATCAGAGTCCTGGAAAGAAGAGACCGATCTCGGCGGGGGCGGGGAATGCATTTGGGTGGGGCCTAGGCAGAGAAAGCTGTAGTCCTAGGGAGAGACTGGGTTCGCAGTTGGTGAAATAGACTGGCTGCGGGTAACCGAAGAGGATTTAGAGAAGACCTGGCTCCTGAGGCGAGGCCCTGGTTCCCCAAAGACTGGGTCTTATGAACAGGGAAGATAGGACAGCCATGTGCGGTTGTGCAAATTGTTCACTGCACAAACCCACACAGCCAAGGCACGGGCGGATGTAAAATCCAGCCATCCCCCGCCCCCCCCATGTGTCCTGGTGGGGCTGGGTAAGCCTGGAGGGGGGATGGGGGGTGGCATCTAATTTTTGCTAAGGTGTCGAATTGGGTGGAGGAGGGGAAAGAAGAGGGGTTGGGTCCTAATGACGGAGGTGTCTGAGTTCCAAGAGGGAAACAGAAAAGTCTTCCCAGAGGTGGGCGGGGGGGTGGGGTGGCGGCGGCGACCAACAATCTAGAACAACACACACCCTGCCTGGTTAAGAGAAAGACACCCTTGTACACGGAAAAAGAGGACAGGAAACCCACATGCCTGGTCCTTCCCCACAAGTGCCTAGAGGTCTAGACTCGGGAGGAATCCTGAGACGGCAGGGCCCAGGGCCTCAGGTCTGTGAAAGGGGAAAGGCGGCTGGGACCGGCTTCCTGTGTCTTGGTTTAGAAGGGACTGGGGGCCTGGAGCTGGACATTCTGAAGGCTGCTGCTGGAGGGGCTGTCCCAGGTTCAGGAAAGGTCAGGCACGAGCAGCCTGGGCCCCTGGAGGAGGCAAGGAGGAAGGAAGGAGGCAAAGGCGGAGCAAGAGGTTAAACGGTTTTATTTTCTGGAGGAGGCCGGGGGCGGGGGCTTTGGGGCTGAGACAGAGGGGCCGGGCACCGGCAGAGGCGGCAGGGCGACGCGGGGCCCTCACTCCCGCTTCCGCAGGTGGATGTAGATGACGCCGCTGGCCAGGGCGAGGGGGAAGGCCACCCAAGCTAGGGCGAAGCAGTAACCGAAGCTGCCCCCCGGCGGCCGTTCCGCCAGGATCTCCTCCGCGTGAATGGCGTAGATCAGCGCCCCGGTAAACACCGCCACGCCTGCGGGGAGACGGGGACCAGGTGTCACGCAGTACCGGCAAGAAGACTGCATTTCCCAACAACCCACGGGGCAAAGAAGCCACGGGAAAGCCAGGGCTCCGCACCGCTGCCTTCTGGGAGTTGTGGTTCGCTCCCTCAGGGCCCTGCAAGGAAGCTACCGCGTACTGTCCTTGGGCAATTTAGTTGATCTAGCTGGGTGCCCTTTACTCATCCATAAAATGGGAGATACTATCCATCCATCCATTCATCCATCCATCCACTCAGCCCTTCAAGGAATATCTTTTAGTGCCTTTCTGCGAGCCAAGCACAAAAATAGTGAACTAAAACGAGAGGGACTTTATAGGAACCTAAGAAGAGAATATTCCAGAAACTGAGGACTATGATAACTTAGCTCTCTGCACCTGAAGTCAAAAAGTTTTAAAGTATATAAACTCCCTGAGGTGTCTGATACACAGCAGGTCCACCGGAAACAGAAGCTGGCTGCTATTATAAAATCACTACTATTATGATTCAGAGTTCTCTCCTGGAGTATTACTTAGCCAACTATCTCCACACCCCCCCTTCCCTGGGATCTAAATTATTTACTCACACCACCGTTCCCAGCCCCGGCTCCTTGAAGCTGTAAGTGTCAGCTTCGACATGACTCAGAGACGCACACCACAAACCACTGAATCAGTGAAAAGTACAACTCTTTGTAAGTCCCCAGGCAGAAAGGTAGCCTATGGAGGCACTTCAGGTGGTCCTTGGGCTGTTGATAATTGTTTTCTTTGACCCGATGTCCATTCTCGGGGCCCCCAACACCCGGACAGTCCCCCTCCCTTCCCTTCAATTCCCCGGGGCCCGTGCTCACTGGTGCAAAGCTGGCAGAGGCCAGTGGCATAGAAGAGCCCGCCTCGCCGCATTGTGTAGAGCTGGAACATGAACAGGATGAAGGACAGGCAGCAGAGGATGAGGGAAAGCACCATGAGGACCTGAACCGCCTTCAGCCAGCCTGCAATAAGGAGGAGATAGAGGTGGAAGTCACAGTAGGTCCAGAATTCACTGCCTCACCCCATTTAGAGCCATACAACTTTGGATGCTTAGGAGTATCACTTACATTGACTTTGATTCCTATAACTTTGTTAAATTCCCTTATCAGTTCTAGAAGCTATTTTTAAGATTCCTTAGGATTTTCTACATGAACATGTCCACTGGGAATAGAGACATTTTTACTTTTTCCTCTGCCCTCTTTATACCTATTATTTCTTTTTCTTGCCCTGTTGCATTGGCTACCTCCAGTACAACACTGGAACAGAAGTGGTGAGAACAGAAGTTCTTGCTTTACTCTTAGGGGAAAAGCATTTAATCTTTCATTTACTTTCACTTAGAAATTTAGAAGGATACAGCTCTTATCCTTTATAACTCAGATGCAACAGCACTGTAACCCCCCAACCTTGTTCGGGACCTTGGAAGGATTCAGCCCCACCCCTTTAGAACCTTAATGTGGTCCAGCTTCAATCCCTTGGAACTTGGACAAATTGGTCCCTGACATCCATTCCGAACACCAGTCCCATCTCCTTTGAACTTTGGAAAATATAATCCTACCTTCTCAGAATCTTGGGAGCTTTCTCCCCATTCCTTAAACCTATAGCATGTGGCCTCCACTCTTTCTGAATCATAAAGGAGGGGGGCTTTTAGTCCATCCTCTCTAGAACATGAGCATATTGTCCCCTACCATCCAGTTAAGAGGGTCATAATCAGCCCCACTCAGCACTGGGGCCCAGACCTGCCCACTCAAACTTTGAGGGGTTCCCTAGTTCTTGGTCCTGTGAAGAGACCTGGGGTGACCCCTCCCCTTGCAGACTGGTCCCCTATCCCCCTCACCATTCTCGCTGACGTTACTGCAGGCCCACGTTTTATTGTCATTGTTCCACGTGCAGTCATACCAGAGATTCAGGGACTCCTTCCCCGGGAGGGTCCACCAGGACTGGGATGGACCGAGAAAGAAACAAGGGTAGGGTTAGGAAAGGAAAGTGGGCGGCGTCAGGGGAAAGGGCGGGATAGAGACACGGGAGGCAGAACTCAGAAGGGTAGGTGTTAGGGAAAAGGGGTGGGGCCCGAGTGACGTTAGAAGAGGGGCGTGGCAGGAGTCTGCAGGACAAGATGCCCCGCTGCAGCAGTAGGCTTACCTTGTCCAAAGTGGCCACAAAAAGCAGGATGAGAATGAGGATGTGAAGGGCAGAGACCACCAGCAGGAGGAGAGACATGGCTGCAGTGGAAGCCGGGACTGGGGGGGTGTCCGGAAGTGGTTGTTTCAAGGGTTGGCACAGGGGCGGGTGAGATGCTCCAATCCTGGTGGAGAAGGGGGCTGAGTCCAGACTCCTGGGGGTGGTGGAGAAGAGTGCTGGGGGCCGTGACTCCTGAGTCTGAGCGGGGAGGAGGCTGGGGGCCCGGACTCCTGAATTCTCCAGGGGTTGGAGCAAGCCAGGGATGGACTCTTGGGTCCAGGGGGGAGTAGGACTAGCAGTGTGGCCTCCCGTCTCCTCAAAGTCCTGATCCTGGGCACATATGGGCCAGGATATGAAAATTCAAGCTGATACCCCTCCAGAGTCATCAGAAGCTGGGGGCTCCCCCAGAGACAGGCATCCTTGATTCACCCCCCTCCTCTCCTGGGGTGGGGAGGAGGGGGACCCAGTGAGTCACCCAGTGACTCATCCCATGCCCCTGCCTCCAAGAACCAGGGAAACCCCAGTCTCTGGCTCTGCCCACGAGGTCCCCACCCCACCCTGTTGCCAGACTGGTGCCTGTTGGACATGTTGTGGGAAAAATGGGCGAGATCCATGCTGGGGGTGGGAGGTTGGGGTTGGCAGGGGGAGGCTTGACAAGAAGGAGCCAGCCTCCCAGGACCCTTCAGTGTCCAGAAAGGGGGTGCCTGGAGTCCCCCAGACGTGGGGTGTTCTCTG